GTTTACTTAGTACGTTTTTGAAATATAGCATAGAGTTAGTATAGGGTGTTATATAACACGGTGTTATAAATATAACTTTCCTATTCAAAAAGTATTTAGAAAATAAAATTTTTTTTTTAAAATTAAATAAAAGTTTGTAAAAAACTTATTTTATATGCTTTTATTTTTATTTAACTTGTAGAAAAATTTATTTGTTGTTTTCTATTACATGATACTTTATTACAACATCAGGAAACTATAAATAGATAAATAACGATTACTAACAAATAATCGATAATTATCGATAATTCTTATCGATAGTTATCATTATTTATCTATTTATAAAATTTCCCGATGAAGTTATATAATAAATAATTAGCCAATTAAGATATAAATACAGTTAGACCTCTCTAAATGCATAGCCGGGGTGGTCAAAAAACCTTGCGTTTAGAGAGACTATGCATTTAGAGAATATGCATTTAGGGAGGTCTGACTGTATATATATAAATTTTATTTATTAGTAAACTAATTTATATAATTCTGACTATATATATAATTATATTTTATTCTATTGCTAAAGCCAGTCAATTTATCATGAATCTAAGTTTGTGTCAAGCTTAGATTTATGATAAATTGGCCGGCTTTAGCAATCGTGATTGCAAACACAATCATTTAATTATAAATTAAAAATATAATATTAGACCTATATAATAAAAAAATAATTAGTTCTCAATTATACATCACCGTGATATAATTGTATTTAACTAATTTGACATTAATAAAAGCAAAAAAAAAATAAAATAACTTATATAAAATTAATTTTTACTGCAAACTAAACTAAATTAAACGATTTTATACTTGCAAACTAAATTGTAATTAAAAAATTTTTAACAAAAAAATGGGATATCGGTAAATATTAAAATAATTATTTTATTTTTTTTTCGGTCAAAGTATAATTCCGAGTGTTCTAAGTAAAAATATTCAGCACCACAAAAACCTTATATTAATCTAAATTTTACCTCTAATACTAACCCTTACCTTAACCTATAACAGCACCCTAACCCTAAACTTTACTAGTGAAATTATTAAAAATGTACGTATATGGTGTTGAACACTAGTGATGTGATTTAGTGTTAATGTTTTTTTTTTTTTTTAACAGAATATATTTGCAGGCCAAAATTCAAAATAAATAAAATAGTTCAGGGTCAGTTGATAAAAACTTAAATTAGAAAGTGGGCCGGCAAATACATTAGTCAAATGATTAAGATTTGACCAGGTCGAACGTTACATTCAGTTTTAATTCAGCCTATGAAATTAATCGATATACAAAATTGATCTTTCAACCTTTATATAAATTTATAGTCAAAATTAAAAATCAATAAATTTGTAGGCTTAATTGTATGTTGATTTTTAATTTCGACTATAAATTCATATATAGGTCGAATTAAGATATTGATTTTTATGAATTAAGGCTGAATGTAACATCCGACCTGATCGAATCTTAATCGTTTGGCTAGTGTAAAATCCCTATAGCAAAAAGATTTAAAAAATTTTTATTAATATTTAAGCAGCTATAGAAGATATAACACATATATATTTTTTTAAGTAAATAGACAAAATATATTAATAAAAAATGCTTGGCGTGTTGCATTGGGGGTGCGCTGCCAACTATTTAGATCAAAACTATATGTGGTATCATATAAAAATCCATTATCGAAGATTTTTTTACAGCCTATGTACAGCATAGCAGTGCGTATAGTGATCTTGACAGCTTATATATGATCACTATTAAATAATATTTAGCTGATATATGATTACTATTATTAAAAAATATTTAGCTAATATATGATTGCTATTATTAAAGAACCATTTTTGTACATAGAGGATGATGTATTACTTTTTCAAAATTTTTAACATGAAATCAATCTTAAACATATTTCTAACAAAGTTACGTTAAAAAATTTTATGTTTTAGGATAAAAATTTGCCGTCGTCAAGAAATTTTCTTTTTTTTCTTTTAACTAAATTTTCATTCGACTTTTAAATGCTAAAATTGTGAATTATTTTAACATAACTTTGTTAAAACTATGTTAAGAATTGATATATGCTAAAATATTTGAAAAAATAATATACAGTCGACTCTGTATATAACGAACCCTGAGGGTCTATATGTAAAAATTTTTAAAAAGTTCCTTGTAGAGAATTTACTATGTTTTTATACCGAACTCTATAATAAATTTGCTAAAAAAAGTTCGTTATAAAGTGAATTCATTATAAAAAGGTTCGTTATATCCAGAGTAGACTGTAATTCGTTCTCTAAATCTATATATCCATATCACTCTTTGCTATTTAAAACTTATATAATCACCCTGATCATAGTCTCAATCTGTTTATATGATACCACATAATTTTGATTTACATAGTTGACAGCGCAACCCAGTGTTGCATGAAATTTATAAACAGCGAAGTTATAAATTTTAACTTATAATTTGGAGATTGATTGGTAAAAAAAAAGCCATCAAAACTCAACTATTATTGCGGTTTGCATAATTTTGTGACCCTATGATTAATTTTTTTTATGATTAAATGATTGTGATTATGATGCTAAAGCCGGCCAATTTATCATAACTCTGAACTTGACAATGACTCAGATTCATGATAAATTGGCTGGCATTAGCAATCGCGATCGCAATCATAATCATTTTAAAAAAATTAATCATAGGAGCCACAAAATTATGCAAACCGCAATAAATTTCACTTGTTCAAAATTGGCATGTTCTGCATTACAATATTTCTAATCGTCGCTATAAATATTAAAATTTATAAATACTGACGTATTTTTGTTTTTTTTTTAATCATGTAGATACTCATTATACCTATGTAACTATTTCTTTAGTATAACAATTATTGGCACGCTAAATAACATATAACAAATAAAGTTATTGTCAATGCTCTTGTTAATCAAAAAGAGTAAATTAAAATTCCGACGTAAATAAAAATTCACACATTTAAAATATGTTTCTTCAAGAGTAGGTACGTACGTAACTTTAAAAATGACATTTATGGTAATACTAAATGGCATGGGTTTCACCATGTGCACCACACGCGAAACCAATAAAATTTATAATACCTTTCGCTTGTGATTCTGTAAAACATAATTAAATTAATTATTTTTTGTTTTAATATTATATCTATATATATATAAAAGTAAAATCTGGCCAGATGATGATCATCTGACAATAGTGTATTCTGTACAACATGTGCCAAATAATTGCTTATATATTATATAAAGCCTAAAGATACACTAAAATATGAGTGATAAATGTTGTACGTTATCCGTCACTTATCTGGAGACTCTAATTGTACTCTCTTTACGCGCGGTCAATGGTCTTGAGATCGCTTATATGGTGTCAATTTGCAGATCTTATAAACATTTTTGCCAACGAATATTAACAAATGTTTCATCTAAAGGTTTTAGAAAAATTCATTCTATAATAAGCATTAATCATTTAAACAATTTTTTTTTTTTATAAATACAGTACTGTAGTTGGAAAATTTTACCATGAAAAAAGAAAAATTAAATAAAAATAATCATCTAAACAAATTATCCTATACAAAAATAAATGAAAAAAATGGCTTCCCACGTCGATCTACCTGTTCCTACGCAACCTCTTTATCCACCTCCAGTAACAATCAATCAACTTAAAGCTATTTATAACATCAAGGTTAACGGAAAGCTTCCTAAATTACCATCAGCATTCGTCATTTATAGATATGCATATCGTCAACAACTTATCGCTGACAATAACCTTCCACTCGAGCGTAAATTTTCATGTATGGCGAGCAATTCCTATAAACGAGAATCCGTACATGTCAAAACTGTATACGAGAATTTATCTTTGTTACTACGATCTGTGAGATGAATCTCGCGGATACGCGATCCCAAATATGTATTACTATCATGTGACATCTCATTTATTAGACGATTGGTTATAAAAATTATATAATATATATATATACAGTATATGCATACATGCATCGTATCGATTATTTAAAATCTTTGGCATTATCGTTATTTGCTTGTTTAAATAGAGCTTTAAGTTTGGGTTTCTTTGTTGTTTTTTTATTATTTTTGAATAAGATCAAAGTGAATTAATTTAAGCAAAATTGGCAATATCTATCGTTATCTTTCGCAATCGATCGAGGCTTGATTGGAGATGTATCTTAAACTTGGGCTTATATCGAATCTATAGAATATATATCGATATAAAATTTGAATATTTATCTAGAATAGTATATAGAATAGAATGAGTTAGAAAAAACGGATACCTATTTTACTTTTTGTACGAATAGTTAATGAAAGAATAAAAATAAAAGAAATTGATTAAATGCATAACTTTGTCAAAAGAGTTTTTTAAAGAGGTATGAGATAGAACGCACAAAATAAGAGAATATAACAAATCAAGTAAATCTTTATGATTTAATTGTTTACTTGATCAATATCGAATTCACTCGTACAACCTTCTTTACTTGTATTCGTTTCAAAGAAAAAAAAAACCTTATTTTTGCATGCTTAAAAAATGTGATAAATCAATGTTACCATGTTTGCTCTTTTTATCTTTCGTATCCTTTTTACTTTTTTCAATGTGAAAATTTTATACAATATTTTAGATATCTAATATTTATGGAGATACGCGTATCTACTCAATCAATACAATTGATAAACAATACTGCAGATATTGCAGATTCTTTATATATTTATGTGAAGGCATCATTACAGCATTACTAAGAAAATTTACTAGAACAAAAAATTCAGAATAGCACGAATGTACTACATTGTAAAAAAAAAAAAAAGAAAAGAAAGGAAGGAAAAAATTAAATTCTAACTATTTACTATTACTTGGAGTATTATATAAATTGACAATATGGAAAATTTTTCTAAAAATGAATGAATTATGTACTTTTTTTTTGTTTTTGAATATACATAAAAAAAATAGTAAAGTGCAATGAAAAAAAATATAAATGTAAAGAATGTAAAGGTATTCATTGAGTATTAAAGAAAAATGCAGAAATAATTAAAGATTCGAAAATTATGGACGAAATCTTCGTTATTTCTGTACTTAAGGAATATATTTGTCCGGTAAATATATATATATAATTAGAAAAATTAGCTTATTTATAACAGATGAATGTGAATGATGTTGGGCCATACTGGAAGGATTGTTCATTTTTTTTTCATTTTCCATAAAGTCAAAGATCATTGAAATGAAGAATTCATCACAACGAAGGTTCACCTTTATAAATCACGGGTTTAAAATCTTCCTCAACGCTCAAATAACCAGAATCTTGTCTTTCCTGTTTCTTGCACAATGCGGTCTTTGATACTACATTTTTATTCATTAAATACTTGGGATCAATTGAATCTTCAGGAAAAAGTTGAAGATCTTGTTCTGGTTCAGAGTGAAATTTTTTATGCGAAAAATTCATAGTATTTGTAGCGAAATTTACGATTTTTTGAAGGTCATCAAGTTTACAGGTTGATAAATCTACATTACGGAGTATGTGGCCCGGCGACGTAATAGATCTAAGAGCCGCCTGTAATTAATCCAATAAAGATTAGAAGGTTTTGATATAAAAAATCGAAAATAACAATAAAATTCAAATAACAAAAATTTAAAGATTGACAATATTTAAAGAAAGATTGGCAATATTTAAAGATTGGCAAAATTAAATAATTCTTGAATATTGATACTTTTATTTCATTTATTCACATAGATCAAACTGACCTTATTAATAATGGATGGATTAATATCTTGAACAAGTTTGGACAAATCACCAATCAATTTTT